TACTTGATAGCTGGGTGCCGCGGTCTGGAGGAAGAGCCCAAAATGTCCCCTGAGTAGCACAGGGAGGGCAGTATTAGGAGCACTGCCTCCCAGGTGGCTACTGTGAGGGGAGCTTGAGAGAAAGCTTTGCTAGACACCTGACCCACCACACGCCAGCCCACAGTTTGGTGATGGCAGCCACTGGTCAGGATAAGGGGAAAATTATAGTCATCTGGAAGGAAAAGTGCAGCCAGGGCATCACTGTGCCCCGCTTCCTAAAGGCTGACCTGGGAGCGTCAGTGAAATCTGAGGTCCAGCTTGGTCCCTTCTGGGAAGGAAGAAGGCTAGGACCTCCTCTCCCTCAGTAACCACCACTCGCCCTGCCACTGATCCATTTAGTCAAATGGCTGCTACTTACAACGTGTGAGTGGTGACTCCCACCAGAGAATGTCCCTCCAACAAGCAGGAGAAAGACAAAGTGAGTGGTGGGGAAACTGAGGCCCTGAGGGGGAGAGTCGGAGACGAATTACGGCTGGGCCCGGTTCCCAGAACTCCTAGATAAAGTTCCTCCCGGAGCATCCTTGCGCCTCGTGGTCTGGTCTTCCAGCATGGCACTGGGGACCAGCAAAATCACTCTGCCCAAGGGGGTGGGAGATCTGGAGCCAAGCCTTCCTACTTCTGCTCTCTTGATGGGTGACTGAAGGTGATCCACTCAGGCTTCCGGGGTCTTCCTGAATCTCAGTGAAATCAGATGCAGGCTGTGATAGGATATAGCGGTGCCATGGCCTCCAGAGAGAGGTCTGGTCTTAACGAACACCAGGAACCAATCTTTCTCTCGGCCTCAGTGTCTTCAACTGTAAAATGGGGGAGTGAACTGGGAGACCACTATGGGCCCGATGCTGAGAGCAGAGCAGCACCATTTGGAATCTGACCTTTCCCACTTGGAGGGCAGGGTCTGAATCGCACTCATCTCTGCCCCCAGAGTCTCAGCACAGTGCCTAGCACACTCCCCCAACACCTTGGAGTTTGACGACCTTCCTGGGAGGGGCTGTATAATAGTCTCCAATCTCTCTGACTCAAGTCAGGGGAAGCAACCTGGTGATCTAGAGGCTCCACCCATCCCTCCTGCCACTACTGCAATTCTACTTCCATCTCCCTGAAACTAATAATTTTAGGGAGCAAATTTCACATGTTCTTCACAGACATTACAAACCTGGCTCATCCGTTTTGCATTTGGATTTGAATTTGTTGTCTGGACTTCTAGGAAATTAGTAATGAGTGATTCTAATAATTATTTGTTCTAGGAACTCTCCTAAAAATAACTTGGTCAAATGAGGGTGGCGGTGGGGTGAGGCAGTCCTCTAAAACATTTCTCCTTCATTCCATCCGAAGTCTTGAGTTCCAATTACTCATAAAAGTTTGTGTGCATAGTTCCAAATTCTAATGAATTTCCAGGAAATATCAACGAAATGATGTTGGCATTGTCAAGATGTGTTCATTTTGTTTTGTTTTGTTTTGTTTTGTTTTGTTTTGTTTCAAAAACTCTTGCTAGCTGCTCTCTTTTGTGCAGACAACAACTGCATAAAATATGTCAGTTTCTGGGGTATATTATTGGAGCTGTATCTTAATGGCATAAACTGATGATATCGAATTCTCAGAACCATCAAATCTTGAGATTTCAGAGTCAGCATGCCCAGAATAATACCCAGCAGTCTCTCCTCCCAAAGTTGACACTTTTCATAGCTTCACCTCAATATCTATCCATTACGTTCTATGGTTTCTGAGCAAGTCAATAATTTGGGCCTTATTTCTTTAATTGTCATCTCTTTCCAACGAAGTAAAGAGTCTGATGTCAACCAAGTTCCTGAAGGAGCCCAGCTATGGTCAAGGTGCTCAGGGCAAGGTCTCCAGGCCCAAAGTGCAGCTGCATCTGGAAAGCTGCCATCTAGTCCCTATGTAGTTGGGGAGCCTCCTTGCCATCCATGCCATCTCCATGCCCATCATGATGGTCCAGCCCTGTCCCAGTCCCAATCTCAATAAACTTCAGTTGCTGGAAAGAGGCAACCAGATCTGACCAGCCCCAAGGCTTCAGCTTCACGCCGGGCTGGCGAGTGGGCGTTTAGCACCTTCCCCTGGCAGAGCAGCTAAGCCGCAGAAATGAGCTTGGGTTACATTCCAGGTTCCAGCCAACTTGGCAGCCCATGAGTCAAGCCTGGTGTGTGGCCAGCCATGAGTCTAGCACAACTAAAAGGCATAAAACCGTACTTTGCTGTTGAGATACACGCCCATGGGTAGGCTTTGTAGGCAGTTCCCCAGACACAATCCTTGATTTCTGCTACCATGCTCTTCCCGAACACCCTTCCTCCTGCCAGGAGTCTCCACGGCACATGTCTCCTTATGCATCTGGGAACCCAGCTTCCCTCAGATTGAAATGCTACCTCCAATGATGCTAATAAGGAGGGCCACAAGGCATGGGTGAAGGGCAGAGTGTCCTCTGTCATCTCTGATCTCAAGTCAAGCCTCAGCCACATCTACTCCTTCTTAGCAAGTCCATGGCTTTGAGGATTTCTCACCAGTTCTGCATATCACAACTTCTTTGGAGGCTGGAGCTAGAATCTTGACTCTAGAACATCAAGGGACTCCTCATCATGGACGTCTTAGCTTCATCAGAGGTCAGAGCTGAGGTCTCAGCTCTACAACATCAAGCAGAGCCATCATCATGGGCATCAAAGCTTCATTGGGGACTTGAGCTGGAATCTCAGTTCTGGAACATCAAGAGGGCCATTCACTGCTGACATCTGAGCTCAGAGGCTGGAGCTGGGGTCTCAGATCTGGAACCTCATGAGGGCCACCCATGATGGACATCTGAGCTCCATCAGAGGCTGGAATTGGATTTCAGATCTGGAACATCAAGTGGAGCCTTCATCATGGACATCTGAGCTTCATCAGAAGGTGGAGCTGGGGTCTCAGTTGTGGAACATCATGACGGCCATTCACCATGGTCATCTGAGCTTCACTGGATGCTGGAGCTGGGTCTCAGTTCTGAAACATTGAGATGACCACTCATCATGGACATTTGAGCTTCATAAGAGGCTGGAGCTGGAGTCTCAGATCTGGAACATCAAGTGGGCCATTCATTGTTGACATCTGAGCTCAGTCAGAGGCTGGAGCTGAGGTCCCAGATCTGGAACATCATGAGGGCCACTCATCGTGGACCTCTGATCTCCATCAGAGGCTGGAGTTGGAGCTGGAATCTCATATCTGGAACATCATAAGGGCCACTCACTGTGGACATCTGAGCTTCACTGGAGATTTAGCTGGGTTCTCAGTTCTGAAACATGAAGGTGGCCACTCATCATGGACCTTTGAGCTTCATCGGAGACTGGTGGACCTCTGATCTCCATCAGAGGCTGGAGTTGGAGCTGGAATCTCATATCTGGAACATCATAAGGGCCACTCACTGTGGACACCTGAGCTTCACTGGAGACTTAGCTGGGATCTCAGTTCTGAAACATGAAGGTGGCCACTCATCATGGACCTTTGAGCTTCATCGGAGACTGGAACTGGGTTCTCAGATCTTAAACATCATGAGGGCCACTCATTGTGGACATCTGAGCTCCATCAGAGGCTGGACCTGGGGTTTCACATCTGGAACATCAAGAGGACCCTTCATCATGGACACCTGAGCTTCTTCAGAGGCTGGAACTGGGTTCTCAGGTCTGGAACATCAGGAGGGCCACTCGTCATAGATATTTAAGCTTCATCAGAGGCTAGAGCTGAGGTCTCAGTTCTGGAACATCAAGAGGGCCACTCATCAGGGACATTTGGGCTTCATCGGAGACTGGAACTGGGTTCTCAGATCTTAAACATCATGAGGGCCACTCATTGTGGACATCTGAGCTCCATCAGAGGCTGGACCTGGGGTTTCACATCTGGAACATCAAGAGGACCCTTCATCATGGACATCTGAGCTTCTTCAGAGGCTGGAACTGGGTTCTCAGGTCTGGAACATCAAGAGGGCCACTCATCAGGGACATTTGGGCTTCATCAGACTCTGAAGCTGGGTTCTCAGTTCTGGAACATCAAGATGGCCACTTGTCATGGACATTTGAGCTTCACCAGAGGCTGGAGCTGAGGTCTCAGTTCTAGAACATCAAGAGGGCCACTCATCATTGACATATGAGCTTCATCGGAGGCTGGAGATGGGGTCTCAGATCTGGAACATCATGAGTGCCACTGATCATGGATGTCTGAGCTTCATTGGAGACTTAAGCTGGGTTCTCAATTCTGGAACATCAAGAGGACCACTCATCAGGGACATTTGGGCTTCATCAGACTCTGAAGCTGGGTTCTCAGATCTGCAACTTCAAGAGGGCCACTCATCATGGACATCTGAGCTTCAACGGAGGCTGGAGCTATAGTCTCAGCTCTGGAACATCTAGGAGTCCTTCATTCTTAATGACTCAGCTTCATCAGTGACTGCAGCTTTACCCATTACATACAGGACTCTCCTGGAATGAGTGTTGACTCAGGATCACAGGCAGATTGTACCTGCTTGAGACTACCTGCTTGGCCGTCCACTTGCCATCAGTTCTAAAATGATAACTGCCTGGCCAGAGGCCCCCACCACCACAATGTGTGAGGAGGACAAGAACTGTAGCCCTGGGGGCAGACCCTCTGAGGCTGCAGAAGCCAGGACAGTGAGCTCAACTCGGACTTCCTCCACCATCTCTGTATATTCCTTTCTGGAAAGAAACCTGGCATCCTATGACCATTAAACAAAGGGGGTCCATCCAGGTTAGCTCATCCATATGTGCATCAGTCCCAGAACCTCCACCAGGCCAGCCCTGCTGCAGGACATTTTATCACCCTTGAGTGCCAGATGGGTAAGGGACAGGCGGGGACTGGAGCTGGCTCCCCTGACCCTCCCCACCCATCACACTGCCCAAAGAGAGAAGCCCCAGTGAGAGGCACATTTAACACTTACCCGTCCTTACATTAGTAGCACGTCCATTACTGTGTTTGTTAAGGCAAAAAAAAGATATTTATTGAGAGCACAATAGGATGTGCCAAGCCCCAGGTTGGGCACTTTCAGACCGCATCACAGACTCCTCACAACAACCCTGTGAGGTAGGTGCAGAGCCCCTTTCACAGATGCGGATGGCGAAGGCACAGCCAGTCCCCTAAGTCTCAGGGTTCGTAAGGTGTGGGCAGGCGTCAAGCCCACGTGTCTGACCCTCAGCTCAATGAAGTCCATCCGCATAGGGTGGGCGACTACCGCAGGGGAGGCTGAGGAGGAGGGCACACCCCTCCTTGCAGGGGGCAGCCGGGTCCAGAGTCTTTGGGTCCAGCCTGTCCCGAGGGAATGTGAGCAGGGCGTCCCCGTGGCTGTGGAGGCTGAGAGAGACACAGGTGCAGATGAAGGCCACCCACTCTCGGTCGCACTGGCCAACAAGCGTTCTCATGCAGACAGGCAGGTCAGGAGCGCAGAGAGGACAGGAACCCCCTCTGCTTACCAGACGGAGCGCCTGAGAACCTGGACATCGCAGGAAAGGCCCTGGCTCTCCGCTGTCATGGGGTCGAGGGGAGCACCCAGCCACCAGCTCCAGCCTTTCTACTTAGTTCCCTTCAGCCTCTGGTGTCCTGCACATTACCTGGGTCTCCTCCACCCGCACAGACTTCCAGAAGCACAACCCTGGTCATGGCGCCCTCCCCGACCAGCCACCTCTCACAGTGCTCACCGCATTAACCCAAAATCTGGAACTCGTAGCCTTTCCAAAGACCACCCCAGCTCTCCAACCCATTACCAATGAAACCTGAGTGTTTTCTAAAATATCAGCCTCGTCCTACTCTGGGGGTTTCTAGATATTCTCCCTGATCTTCCCATTTTGGCCTCTCTTCCCTTCCCTCCCTCCCTGTCTCCCCAGAGTTGGCCAGGTGCCTCTCCCACACCTCTACTCTGTCCCACAGTCCCCTGGGCCAGAGGCCAGGGAGCACAGGGCTCTGTGACCAGCGCCCACAGACTGCAGGGCGCATGGCCAGCCTCAAAGCCCCCAGGAGGGCGAGGGCTTCTGTGTGCCAGGTAACAAAGCATTTATTTTCATATAAATAACCTCACTGAAGCAAAAACCATGTCAGGTATGTGACTAGTTCCAGGTTACAGGTAAGCAAGATCACATAGCTACCACACACACACCCACAAACACACATGTGTAAAAAGGTGCTGGGGCAGCTCAAACCCAGATCTTGATTCTTGGGAACCAATACACGGGGTACAGCCAGGCACAGCCACCTTTCTCGGTGTCTACCAGCATCCCCTGGAGGACACAATCATGATGCACCCAATCTACAGATGGGAATGCCAAGACTCGGGGTGGTTTAAGTAACCTGCCCAAAGACCACTACACTGGCAAATAGTAACATCAGGACCAGAAACTAAATGGGCAAGACCTCCAGAGCCCCACCCCTCAACATCTGCCCTGCGAGGTGGGTGCTAGGTTCCCCCGCAGAAGATAGACCCAAGCAGTCACCTTAAGTTTAAACGCCACACATTTGTCTAGCTCCAAGGTTCCGGCTTTGCCCAGTCTACCTACCCCTCAATGCAATAAATAAAATGCTGAATTCTCAATAGTGTCCCCAAGGCCCAAACCTTGTCCCATGCTGGGAACAATAGGCTAAAGGCGGGGGGGGGGGTCCTCACCATGTCTGGGACCTGCATGGATGCTGGGAGCTGCATCTAAGGTTTGCCAAGCGCCATGTGCCTTGGACACCCTGCTTCACTGATGAGTTGTTCCGTATAGACCCCTCACAGGGCATGGTCCTTGTCATCCACAAGAGCAATCATCTCCCCCAATTTTCTCTAAATAGAGCTGAGCATTAACTAATCTCAAATGGGGCAGGAATGGCTCTAAGATCTCCTCAGTGGCGCCAGACCAAGGTGCGCTAATGACTTGAAAGCCTGCTCACGGCTGGAACCAGCCCTTCAACTCAGGCCCCCTGGCTCTCACTCGAGCCTCTTGAAAATATGGGCTGTGATTTCTGAGCACGCAGGGAACACAGTTTACTGATTACTAATCAACCTCGTTTTGTAAGGAACAAAGTTGGAAAAGATAATCAAACTTTCAACAGAACTCAGACTTGGAAGTGGCAGCTGAATAAGGGTCTCACCTGATGACTGACACACAAACACAGCCCCTTGCAAACTTGCTCAGCTCTCCTTCCAAAAGGAGATGTCACAATGAATCCTTGTGAGCTGGCCCTAGTCTAGCACTAGCTGATTTTTAAAATTGTGTGTTGACTGGGAGTGAATGAAGGAAGGAATTAAGGGATGAAGGAATGGGTTATAACCACGGCCATCTGGTGGAGGAACCTGGAAGGTGGAAGGCAAAGGTTATGGCAGGGACCAGGCACCACCAGACAGGGTGGCCTGGAGAGGATGTCTCTGCTGGTGGACAGGGGCCCTGTCAGACCCCAGTCGTGGATTCATCACTGTGTGTGATGCATGGGAAAGCACCTTAGAGAAGGAAGCCATATGGGTGACGGTGGCAGATGAGATTCAGCTGGGGCTTGCTTACAGCAGTGACTCTGGAGGAAGAAGCTATAAATATGGGTGTTTGCTATATGACCACAGCCCATGGCACTACACACCACAACCAAAGGAAAAGGTTTGCTTTCAGAAAAGGGAGAGGCCAAAACGCCATGTTAAGAAATGTAGGATGAATTCAAGGATGGATGGATGGATGGATCAAATTAAGTTGGAAATCATCGCCAACCTCCCAAGAATATCACTGACAACTCATTACACTTTCATTCATCCCTTCATCCTCTCATCCATCAGGCAATCATTCAATCACTCACTACACATTAATCCATCCTTCCATCCTCTCATCCAGCCACCCACTCACCAACTCACTACATCTACAACCATCCATCCATCCTGCCATCTTCTCTTCCATTAGCCAATCAATGACCATTCACAGCACAGTCATCCATTCTCTAACTGATAGGCCAATCACTTACCCACTCACTCACAACTTCATCAACATTTGATTATCTCATCCACTAGCCAATCACTGACCACATTACACCTTCAACATCCTTCCTTCCATTCATCAATCAGCCAATCATTCATCACTCACTATACCTTCATCCATCTTTCCATCTTCTCATACATCTTTCTATCCTCTCATCCATTAGCCAACCACTCATCCACACACATCTTCATCCATCCTTCCAACATTCCATCCTCTCATCCATTAGCCAACCATTAGTGAGTTTAGTTCACTCACTAAAATTTCATCCATCCTTCCATCTTTTCATACAATAGCCAACCACTAACCCAATCACTACATCTTCATTGCTCCTTCCATACTCTTATCCATCAGCCAACCACTCACCCACTGATTCACATCTTCATCCACCCTACCATCCTCTCATCCATTAGCCAATCACTGAACACTTACTACATCTTCATTCATCCCTCCATCCTCTCATCCATCAGCCAATCGATCATTCACTCACATCTTCATCCATCCTTCCATCCATGTCATCCATCAGCCAACTACTCACTCACTTACTACATCTTAAGCCATCCTACTATCCTTCCATCCTCACATCTATTAGCAATACACTGACCACTCACTACATCTTCATCACTTCCATCTCTCATATATCAATCAACCACTCACCTCCCCATTCATAGCTTCACCCATCCTTCCATCCTCTCATCCACTAGCCAATCACTCAATCACTCACTCTACCTTCATCCATCCTTACACTGTCTTAACCATCTGTCAAACAAAACCCCACTCACTACATCTTCATCCTTTCTTCCAGCCTCTCATCCATCAGCCAATCATTTACTTATTCACTATACAGTCATCCACCCTACCATCCTCTCATCCATCATCCTACCATTCACCCACTTACATCTTCATCCATATTATTATCCTTCCATCCTCTCATCATTAGCAATACACTGACTACTCACTACATATTCATCTCTCCTTCCATCCTCTCATTCATCAGCCAAACATTCACCCACTCATTCACACCTTCATCTATCCTTCCATCCTTACATCTTCTCATCCATTAGCCAATCACTGACCACTCCCTACATCATAATCCATATTCTCATCCATAATCCAATCACTCAGTCATTCACTACACCTTCATCTATCTTTCCACTGTCTTATCTATGAGCCTACCAAAAACCCACTCATTACATCTTCATCATCCCTCCATCCTCTCATCAATCAGCCAACCACTCACTCAATCACTACATTTTCATCCATCCTTCTATCCTTCAATCCTCTCATCCATTAGTCATATACTGACAACTCACATCTATATACATCCCTTTATCCTCTCATTCATCCACCAATCATTCATTCATTCACTACACCTTCATACATCCTTTCCTCATCTCATCCATCAGCCAACTAAAACCCACTTCCTAAATCTTCATCCATCCTACGATCCTCTATCCATCAGCCAACTACTTACCCACTCACTACATATTCATGCATCCTTCTAGCCTTCCATGAACTCACCCATTTTCCAGTTGTTCACAACTCACTACATCTTCATCTATCCCTTTATCCTCGCATCCATCAGATGCTCACTTATTCACTCACTATACCGTCATTCATCCTTCCATCATCTTATTCATCAGCCAACCAAACTCCCACCCACTACCTATGCACCAATCCTTCCATACTCTCACCCATCAGCTAATTTTCATTCACTCACTACACTTTATACCATCCTTCCATCCTCTAATTGATAAACCAATCATTCACCAACTCACTATATCTCCATTTATCCTTCTGACCTTCCATCCACTCATCCATTAGCGATTCACAGACTACTCACTACATCTGCATCCATTTCTTTATCCTCTCACCAATCATCCATTCACTCATTTACTCACTACACTGTCATCCATCCTTCAATTGTCTTATCCATCAGCCAACCACTGACACACTCACATCTTCATCAATCCCTCCATCATCTCATTCATCAACCAACCACTCACCCCCTCATTCATATCTTCATCCTTTCATCCTTTTTCCAATCACCCACTCACATCTTCTTCCATCCTCTCATCTTCTAATCCAACCACTTGTTTGCAACTTCACCCATCCTTTTATCCTTCCATGCTCTCATCCATTCGCCAGCCATTGACCACTCACTACATCTTCATTCATCCCTCCATATTCTCATACATCAGTGAATCACTCATACACTCACTACAAATTCATCTTTCCTTCAATCTGACATACATCAGCCAACTACTGACCTATTCTCTACATCTTCATCCCTCCTTACATCCACTCAATCACATCTTCATTTATCCCTCCATCATCTTATCCTTCAGACACCCACTTACCCACTCA